TCTATCTATCTATTTCAGTCAATGCTGCTTTCTTGTTCCACTTCTTTATCTCTATTATTTTTTTCTCGTTTTCTTTTCTCGTATCTCATTTATTTTTCACTTTTTTTTTTCTCATTCCCAGTTCTTCATTAACAAGTAATGTTCTTCTTCCTTCGCTGCTCTTCAATAATTTTGTATTTCTTTAATTTTCTACTTTAAAAAAAAACACTTTTCTTTTTTCATATTTACATATTTTTAAATTTTTTTCAATTACATTTTTAAAATGTTTTTTTATCTATCTCTATCACTAAGTTTATTTTTCCTTCCCGCCTTTTTTTATTTCAGTCGTTTATTCCTTCATCTATCATTTCGCTAAACATACCATGGGGCAGCTGTGAATGCAGGTAAACAAAATGGAGTAGAAAGAAACTAAAATTAAAAAAAAGTGATGTAATATAGCAAGTTGCGCCATTGTTACAAACAAAAACTTAGTTTTGAGCAGATGTACTGAGAATGCTAATGAAATTAAAATATTTTCTCGCATTTACACAGATTTAGTAAAGTTACATATGACAAAGCGGAAACACAAAGCGGAAACACAAATCGAAAAAGAGATTTTAATAACAGCATTCCATCATTGGGCGACAAAACTTCGTACAATAAATCCAGAACTGTGTCAGGTAAAAAAAAAAAAAAGGATTGGATGAAAAAACTTGCATTTCAAAATATTTTGGATAGCAATAATAAGCGGGAAGTAGATACAATTTGGTGAAATGTGAGGGATCAGTTCGACATTACAACCTATATATAAACTGAACCCTCACTTTGTGGCCACAATATTTTCTATATATTTACATTCCAGACAATATAAATAAATCTAAAAGACATGCCTGTGTAGCTAATCAGTATTTCATTGATTGATTCGTTTTCTATGGCTTATCAACAATCAAGAAATTATAATGTGGATATAAAGTGGGGGATCAATTATAAATTACAACCCATATATAAAATGATCCCTCAATTTGTGGTCACGATAGTTTCTATATATTTACATTCCAGCGTTTCCTACGTCTTATCGACTCTTTGCAGGTCATTTAATGCTAGAAAACATTTTTAGATTGTAAGAATTTATTTTTGGTGATAATAACTGTCTAGTTATACAAGTCTTAATAATTAACCTATAGCTAGGGGTAGAAGAGGAGGATTCATACCTTTCCCAAGAGTATTAGCGAATACAACTGAAATTTGATGTTGGCTCTCCGGTTAACAAGTCCTAGCCCTTGTCCATTACACAACCCGCACATCCATGCTTACAGCATCTGATATTCCCAAGAGGTCACCCATCTAGGTACTGACCAGGCTCAACGTTGCGTAACTTCGATGATTGTACAAGGACTGGTGTTTCAACGTGATGTGTCTGTAAGGCTAAGTGGTAGATATAAGATGTTCAGATTATTAGGATATGTAGCAAATTTTAGCGAGTAGCACATAACCAGGAGTTTCACAAGAGATGATTAGGGGCCATAATGAACTGGTTTGCTATGTTAGGTACCTTAGTAGTTATTGGTGCCATATTGACAATAATATTGAAGCTGGAGAAGCAACAAAATCAACTAATCTCCAGGCATTAGCGGGTGTGCCTGAAAATAAGAGAGGGATACCAATAAGTGTTCTATACCAAAGCAGATCGATATTGGAGGAGGAAGAACTCTGTAGAAGAACCAGAAGCAGAATCGACATGTATCAAGGGGGAGCAAAAACCCTATTGTGGAGAGAGGAAAATCAACAAAGAGGAACAAACCATAAAACAATTCAAATGATTTAATTGTAAAGGGTGATGCGAACCCCCAATATGAATGTGCTTGCCAATGAATCTGAAAAAAGAGGAATTTAAAAAAAAAAATTCACTTCATGTTTAGTGAGAAAGAAAGTCTGTTGCATGAAAAAAAAAACAACTTTTGTTTTGTTAATTTTTTATTATTATTATTCACCACAGGAAAGGTGAATTCGATGTCATATACAAGTAAATGCGATACTATTTTACACTGGTGGAAATAAAGGGGTTAATTTAAAAATATGAGATGAAATCGCTGCGGTGTATATGGAAAATTACTGATTAAAATAATCCTGTCCCTTCGTCACTCGGTTTAAAATCAAAATTGTCAAAAAGTCAGTCAAGACATTCCCATTGGAATGGTCTCAGATGGAATGCTGAGAAAGGAGAAGAAAAATGGGGAAATCTACCTCCGCCCATTTGGAAGTAATGGTGCGAGGCATAAATAAGTGAAAGTACGGGGTGATACTAAATCCGAAACTTGGGGAATTACTGTGGGAGGTAACGCAACAACTCAACTGATGATAGCAGGTAGGAACAAAGAACTGTGAGGAGAGTGACCAAAAAACACCGGTGTCGCACGTCCAACCTTCTCACAAGCAGAAAGCTCTCTGATCTGAAACTGCAAAACGCGTCGAAATCCGGCTCACTAATGCAAAGGGCTGCGCACACCTTTTTTCCTTTACCCAGTTCCACATTTCCGGCTGGCGTGATTATCATGCCTCCTAACGCTCGGATCGCATCAATCCCAAGCAGCAGGTCGTACCCGAGGGGCCTTTGACGTGCCACCAAAACGTCGACCTTGGCATGATTCCCTCCGTCTGTGAGGATTGATACAGTCCCGACACCACAACAGGCCCGGGACACTCCGTCAATCGTCCGAATCTCGATTTGTTGACTGCTCCATGTCACGCATCGATCCGCACTAACGATCTATCGGGAACATCCAGTGTCAACGAGCGGCGAACATAGTTTACCCTCAACGTACACGTTGACAACAGGCAATGCCGCATTTACTGACCGAGATGGGGCAAGGGTTGCGACAGCACCTTGTCCTCGGACTCGTTTCCAGAGCAATCCTGTGCTGATAGCAGCATAGTCGTACTCGGTTCCGTCGGCTGCTCCCGCCTCCTACGTCACTTCGGCTCCGGCAGTCCCTAGAGAAATGGTTGGTCCACTGCACTTGTAACACTTTGGGCCCTCCCGCGGTGTCTCAGGCGTTCTCACGGCTGCCGCGACCTGTTCCGTGTCTTTCAAGATGTTTCGGGCCCTGGCTAGCAATTCGTCAATTCCCAGTGTGTCCAATCTTGAAGACGCTCGCAGGAGCCGACTGGTGTCGTCGGGAAGTCCTGCCAGGAAGGCGCACCCCAGTATGCGGTCCGTTGCTCCGCCAAACGGTACTGCCAGCCTTCGCAAATCAGCCAGGTAGACATCCACGGTCTCACCCGCCTCGAGCCGTCGTACGACGAACTGTTTCCAAGCGATGAAGGGGTCATTTCCAAAGGTCGAATATAGGGCGCCCTTGATCTCTTCTAGGTCAGCAGCGTTCCCGAGTTGTTGATATACGGCGTAGGATCCCCTCGTGAGTCTCAGTGGGATGACCAGTGCAGGTTCCTTTATTTTGGAAACTCTGCAAAACCCGGCCTTTTCAAACCATTCGACGACAGTCGGGCCCGTGGGGGAGCCGTCCAATTCTGGGATAAATTTTAGATCGAACTTGTCCATTGCCGAAATAGCTTGTGGGAGGTAACGCAACAACTCAACTGATAATAGCAGGTAGGAACAAAAGAAAACCGTGAGGAGGGTAACCAAAAACCCCGGTGTCGCACGTCCAACCTTCTCACGAGCCGAAAGCTCTCTGATCCCAAACAGCAAAACGCGCCTGCTTTATACAGCCGAGGACCGACCACGATTTGCATGCGAATGACGAGACAACGAGATTTCGCGTTAACTAACCGAGACCGCCCGGCATAAAACATGGGCGCCGCCATTTTGGTTCCTTTTACCGCTGGAGAACTGGAGTTTGCACACCGCACAGATTCGCAGGAGTTTCCGAGGTAAGCCATTTTCACAATTTTCCCCACAATTACCAAAACCTATAGATCAATCAAATCTACGCAAGTCTTGGGCAGGACACGATGTAAACAGATCGAGTTGGTGACTCAAGCAGAGAGTTAGAGAGTTAGAGAGTGACGTGAACAGCGGGCGAACTGCTACGAAAACTCCGCGTGACCTGTTACCTGGAGAATTCCCGACTTTAAACCTCGTTCCAAGATTTAGAAGAGGAAATTGTCACTATAAAAATTTAAAGCGGGAAGTTGTTTATTGTTGCAGCAGGAACTATATAAATCAAGTAAAAATTACCCCGACCATGCTTTTCCTCCTCTGAGGGAGGTTATCAAAGTAAAAATACATCTACTTTGATAATCTCCACCTGGGGGAAAACGCGTTGATAAAAAAGTTTTTCCTATGTCTTTTATATATATTTTCTTAATATATATATGGTGGACTCTCCCTACCGTGAACGATAAATAAGAATCAGCAGTGAACGATGCCTTTTATTTTACACTCATGCATATTAACAGGGGCAGTTGTAGAGAAAATCAGGTAAGGGAAAGATATAATTCATTTACGCTTTTTTTAAGTGCGATACTAGCTATTGTAGAGTAGTTTTCACAGTGGAGGCTTGTATTTCACTAAGTCTGTCCTAAAAGAGTCCGACGTACAAAACGTTAGGAACTTGAAATAAGAGTTAATGACGCAGCAATCTAGTTGTGATGGTTGATACATCAATGTCCGACATCGACTGACTCACTCAACACTACTGAGCCCAACTGGCGACCGCTACTACTACTACTACTACTACTACTTATTATGTGTGGGAGAGTCTATTAATAATAGAATAGGTACGTCAGGTATAACACTAGCCCAGTTTTTGCTGCGGGCGACGAAGCCACACTGACAGTGGAAATTTGTTACAGCAGGATTTTGATGGCGTCTCTGCTTCCGAGCTTGACGAAGCTGAACACGTTGCTTCAGTCTACTGTCTTCAAAACCGTTTAACTTAATGAAACATGTCTTGCACTACACCTTTGGGTTTGATACTTGATCTATCTATCTATCTATCTATGTATCTCTCTCTCTCTCATATATATATATATATATATATATATATATATATATATAATCATTCTGAAATACAAGCCCGTTAACAAATTTCTGTTTAGTCGGAAATTCGTTTTACCTCTAGTATTTAAAAAAATATATTTTCCTTTCGCATATTCTACCATGTTAACATTCTCCAGAGTAAATATATACCATTGCCATTGTTCTGTAAACGTGTGAAACTTTTTTTTTTACTTATTCTCATATCGTAAAGTAATAATCTTATTAATTATAATCGGAAAAAGTCAGATCCAAGGTTGACTCTCATAATGATATCTATTCTCCCAGAATGTAATTCCACTCAACTGAAGAATCACCTGAAAAATGGTTATAGGGATAGCCTGGTAAATAGTTAGTGGATATTACTCTTTGTCTCAGGGTATCACCCAAATCCAAATCCAAGTTTTCTACTTTCTCTTAGACCCTAAAACGGTGCGGAATTATTAAAAAATAATCAAAGATTTAGAAAATTTAAAATATTATTATGTGCTCCTTGTAATTGTATGCATGAGTCCCAATAAATAATTATTGACCAATTTTATCATTGTGATAGTTTTAATTATATCAAGTATTAGGAATATATTAACCTGGGTACGCAAATTGGAGAAGATAGTTATTAATGATTATGTTCTGACTTCTAGACTGCAGTTATCTCCCTTTAATCCTCTTTGAATTCTATCTATCGTCGTCTACAGAAAACATCGACTGGGTGGGAAATCCTCTTGAAAATTCAAGCAATTTAGATGAGTGATCACGCCTTAAAAATGAAACACAAGGGGACTTTTTTGGATATAAAACCAGAAAGAATATCCAAGGGTCACTTTAAAAACATTATCCATTTCTTTTACAGTTCTCTACGACATATTGCTATGAACAAAGAATTTTAGTTCTGAAAAATATCAAATTTGCAGGTATTCCACCAAATATCAAATATCTTTCTTTCTTTCTTTCTTTCTTAGATAATTCCTCTTTTTTTGCTGTCTTTTTCCATGTATTTTTTCTATTTCAAATGATCTTTCTTGCTTGTTTTCTAATATTTTCCTCCCTCTTTTTCTTTCTTTCTTTCTTTTTCTCGTAATATGAACTTTGTTTCTTTCTTTCTTTCTTTCTTTCTTTCATACTTTTTCTTTTTCACATTCTTTTTACGTCTTATTTTCTTTCATTTTTTTCTTTTTCACATTATCTTTCTAGCTTTCTTCCTTATATTTCCTTTTTCTTTCTTTCTTTCTTTCTTTCTTTCTTTCTTTCTTTTTTTCTTTGCTTCTTTCTTTCTTTCTTTTGACCACTCGCCCCAAGACATCGATTCTCCATTAAAAAAAAAAAAAAACAAACTTCTCGATGCTTGATGTCCTGATTATCATCAGTTCCCCAACATGAAAAAACTCTTGACAGGGAGCCAGTATAGCACTGATGATGACGTCATATCTTCCTGACCAACAGAATGAACAGATTCCTGGAAAGGAAACATAACATTTATCAATAAGAAAAGCTGAAATTAATTCATTCAACATTTCACAGATTCAAAAGTCTTATCCATTCTTGTACAGTTCTCCATAGCATATTCCTGTGAACAAGGAATTTCACTTCTGGCAAATATCAAAGCCAAAAAAGGGAATGGCTTCTTTGTGCTGATGAGGAGCCGAGAGATTGTTTATCTGAAATTAAGCTTGATATAATGGAGATTACCCGTCAAAAACAAGATCATATATTTCATTAAATTTGTGTACTTTAATCATGTTAGAAGATGCGTGTGTTATATATTATATTTAAAACATTATTAGTCGTAGTATTTACGTATTTATTTTAATGTAATATTTGTCACATAAAATGTGGTAGGATGCCTGCAAATTTTCATTCGGAAAATGCGGCCCAGAGAAAAAAAAGGTTAATAGGTGCTGTATTAGAGTAACCCCTCCTCGAAAGAAACTGTTTTCCGAATTGTAGACTTACTCACCAAGCTTAGCGCGCTGCAACATAACGCTTGATTGGGGTTGAATCTGAGGAGATTGTACGCCATTTAACAACTTTTATTTTTGTCATACTGAGGTTGCGATTAACCTACTCACCAGATCAAAGTTTAGTAGGGTAGCCGGTATATTCGCTAAACTTAGCTTTTGAATTGACTTTCTCCTACACTGATTTCCACTCAAGGCGATAAGACCAAGTCTGTACTACTAGAAAGAGATGGATTCATACCTTTTCTAAGATTATCTACAATTTATTGATTGCAGCGAACTTGACAGGAATTCGAACTCGTCTCTCCGATTCCTCAATCTATTACACAACCTTATCTTTATTCAAGGAGTTATAGTGTATGGGAATAATACCTGGGCATACAATCATACACGGTAGGATATTGCGTTCCGTGATCACATTTGTAATCGATTTAACCATTGTTATATAATTTATCGGTTCGGTTCGACATCCGTCCGTCTCGGGAGACGATTGAGTAGCGCCAGTACGCTACGAGCCTGGGCGGGTTGTATGGAGAACTAGGGCTGTTCAGACGTCTAGTCCCACCTCTCGTCCTTGCTAGCAAAGGAGAGGATAAGCCATTACAGTTTGGTACCAGCGCGGCTGGAGGAGTTACCGGAAGTTAGCACAGAGTGCCGTCCATCCGCCTTAGGGGCTCAATCCGGATTTGTGTAGGGTTTACTCCTTGGATTTTCCTTCTCCCGAAGATTTCCAAAAGGCATTGGAGCTTTGGTTCATGGGCACCAGGGCGTGTCCACACACCGGTGGGCCTGCATACCACATGTTAAGGGGGCCAACTTTTCCCCTGTCCCCTGTAGTTTATCCCGAGTCCGCAAGGCACTCGGTTACCATGTGTCGCCATGAGGAGGCACTACATAAGACTTGCAGATGGAGAGGCTATATACTGGCAGGGGAAGACTTACGCATATATAATTTATACACACTCAAAAAATTGTTAATCAGTCAGTTATGTGCCAAGCGTAATACACGATTAGGCGATCATATATTTTGCGATACAAAACTGACGAAGCAGATTTTTTCCCGTAGTAGGTTGCCATTTCTTTCTGCGGTAGAGCAGTTGCCATCCAAGGCTATAGAACCTGGTCTGTCCTGCTATTTCCAAAAAGACGGGAAGAAGAAGAGGATTCATACCTTTCCCAAGGGTATTAGCACGTAAGTGAATGTAATGGATTCGACTGGAATTCGAACTCGGCTCTCAGTTTAGACGCTATTTACAACAAAAAAGGAATGATTCTTATAGAATTAAAAATGTTTCGGCTTTTAAACAACCCACAAGTAATAGATAAAACTTACAAATACAAATTAGTTAATCAATCTTAATCTATTTAGGTGCCATTACATAATCAAGGGTTCTATATTTTCGTTATAACTAATGTCCAACTATGGCTATTGAGGAATCCTTTATAGCCGAAGAAAGAAACAGTCTAAAACTCATGGCTTATTGGGTCGTCTCCAATCCGTTATTTTGTTATTCCTATGTTGAATCCATAAAGGAATCTTCTCTAGGTTCGTTTCTGTTGTTAAAGAGTCTCGCGTCAATTTCGGCTGAAGAACAGATCTTGTCAGAGCAAAAGATAATCACAAGACAAGTAGTCTGTTGGTGATATGCCTACAGACATCCCTTTTCTTACAGTGTGAGGCCTTCTGTAATAGGAATGTTATCTGGCCTGGCATATTTTCTTACAGACTCAGTGTTTACAAATAACAGAGGCAGGTCTTGCTAGCACGGGTAGGTCTAACTTGATTTCAAAATTGCAAAATATTAAACCCTTTTTGATTTCTATGAGAATCTATTAGTATCTGTCTATATTTCTGAGATGAGGTATTATTTACATTATTCGGACTATCATATTTATCACAACGTTTCGCCCGTTGTACGCTCCGGCGTTCTTCAGGTGGTTGGAATGTCGAACTGAACCCTTTATTTCGCTCACTGTGGTAGTTCCACGTGCCATGTTTAATGGATGTCAGTTATCAGTTAACTCCTGTTAATTTCCCCCTGAAAGTTATCCACTGCCTTAACCGGGTATTGAACTCACACTATTTGGGTCCGATCACTATATCTAACCAACGCCTTTAACCACTGTGCCATGTATCCTTGAATTTCTGGGTATTATAAACCTAATGTCTCAGCAACCATTTTTACCAGTGCTCATATTGCAATTTTTACTGTTATGAAATCATGTTTTTACCAGAGCTCATATTGCAACTTTTGTTGTTATTACTGTTTTCTCTGGTACACATTATTACTGGTTCCCATATTGTATTCATTTCTATGCTTGGTCGGCTCAGGAGATTTTTGTGGCCTAGCATATGTGAGGATTCCTTAAGCTTACGAATTTTCCAATGGTGTTCCTTGTCTATGATCTCAACCTGATCCCACAGAGAGCGGTGATCTCCCTCCTCTCTACATATGGTGGTTAGCCCCACCTGATTTTTCCATTTCCCTCCGTGTTACAGCTTTCTGGTGTTCTTGAAGACTTACCTTATATTGCAAATACTATTACAGTTATTAAGCTCAAATATTTAACAATGTGTTAAGTGAATTTCTACGGATATTGAGCTAATTCAATCATTAACTTAAGAATTAGGATTCATCCGAAAATCTAAATAAAATAACCGTGAAATTATCACGGGTCTTTCTAGTTTTGTTAAAGTTGATAAGCTCAAATGTTTAAGGTTTCGATATGGGAATTTCTACGGATATTTTATTGTCGTAGAACTCACCATGAGCTTATTCAATCATTAACTGAAGAATTAAGATTCATCAGGAAATTCAAATAGGAAACTATTATTTTCCTTATTTACATGCAGACTGTTATCCTCATCTTTTTAGTTGTTATCACAATGTTTCAGCAATTGTGCCATCCGTTAATCCGAACGGAACTCTTTATTTAATCTACGTGGATAGACTATTCTAGTCCCACTGACCATGTCTAATAAGGCCGAGGAAAATAACGGTCAAGGCGTTGGAATAGCAACAACAAAGATGAGGATAATAGTCCGAATATAAATTATTATTATTATTATTATTATTATTATTATTTCCTTTGGTTTCTGATGTATATTCGTTTCTTTCCGGACCCCAACCAGAGACCTAAGTTCAGAAATGTGACCATGACATTTTTTCACGTTGCAATTTTGAAAAGAGATTCACATATTTTATGTAGATAAAGCCCTTTAAGGTGTGGGCTGTACTTGTGAGTACAATTAATTGTATTTCGTAGGCTGCCAGGAATCCCTTTAATGAATCTATTGGAATCTTTTCCAATTAATCCGAGGGCTCCAACTACAACTGGGATTACTGATGTTCATATTTGTTACATTTTTGAGATTTCGATTTCAAGGTTCTAGTATTCTGATAGTTTTTTTGAAGATCTTCAAAGATACATTAGACTTTGCAGGGATATAATGCAATAGTAGAATATATATAGTGTAAATATTATTATTAATATTGTATGTGGTATCATCTTTGCCAGAGATAAATTTTAAGTGCCTTATTACCAAATCCCCTATGGAATTTATGAATAAAATATGACAGTGTAGGAGAGTTACCTATGAAGATTTGGGACGTTTCTTTTAGATGGAGAAAGTTTTGAGTTTGATATGTGCATTTCAACACAAAATAATCCTTTGTAGTTCTGAGATGCTGATGTGTCCAAAAATATTAAAATGGTTTCCAGACCGAATACGTAGTTATTAATGAAAAGATGAGCCCAAAATGCAAATTAGAAAAATCAACCAAGCCTAAAAATTTAAATATTTGCGAAGTGTTCTAACACAGGATGGAAATGCGACACTGAAATCCGAAGACGAACTGAGATAGCCAAAGATGCCTTCCAAAAGCTAAGCAGAGTATTAAGAGATGACAAAATTTCTTTAGAAAGAAATAAAAGCGTACTGAACTGTTACTTGATATTTGTCCTACTGTATGGCAGCGAATGCTGAATAATCTCCTCTTCCTCAAGAAACTTGAAGCAACAGAAATGTTGTTCTATAGAATGATGCTGAGGATACCATGGAGAAATGACAATGTTTTAGAGAAAATGGAATCAAAAACGAAACTTATATTTAACACTAGGAAGAGACAGTTGAATTTTATGGGGCATATAATGAGGAAAGAAAATGTGCTGCGCTCAGGACGGATTGAGGGCAAGAAGGATACAGGAAATTAATGCATAACATACTTGAATTTGAGAAAATAGATGCCGGAACAGAGTTTAGAAATAACGAAAAGACAGAATTTATTTAGAGCTCCAAGGGAGAAGAAATTTTTGGAGAACCATG